CATCGATGTTTCTAACTCTCTGTCCCTCTCCCTTCCTCTCTGTAAAAAATCAATAAAATATATTTTTAAAAAATAAAATAAAATAACCGCCATATGCTACTGACAAGGAAAATGGTTGTCTGACTCTGACCTCTCTTCAGAGATCCTGAGCAGTTGATGTCTCCACCTGCTGAACCAAAGGCAATGACACTCAACTGATCTAAAGTGGAGTAACCGCCATATGCTACTGACAAGGAAATGGTTGTCTGACTCTGACCTCTCTTCATAGATCTTGAGCAGCTGACGTTTTCACCTGCTGAACCAAAGGCAATGACACTCAACTGATCTAAAGTGGAGTTCACCATCTCTCTCTTCTCACCCCAAACCTGCTGCTCCCCTGAATTTTCTGTCTTCCCTGTATTTTCTATCTCCCCAAACCTGAATCAAAGGAACCATTCTGATTAGGCTCCTTTCTCTCTCTGACTCCCTGTTCTTCCCTTATCTTCACAGACTATCAGTTCACTTCCTTTCCTTCTCTGCCACTGCCCTCCCAAGCTATCTCCAAGGGCTAGGACTCATCTCCTGGACTCCATTCTCACAGTCCTCCAGTCCAGCCTCTCCACTGACAGTCGTCATCTTTCTAACATACTCATCTGACTAAGCCTCTAGTGCTCGATTTCAGCAGCTTCTCATCACCCACAAGATGAAGTCTACCTTCTCTGTTTCAGAATTACAGATCTCAGTCATCTGACCCCTGGCTATTTGCCCTGCCTTGTGTCTAGCCATTCTTTATCATTCACCCAAGCATTTTCTTGACCCCAAAGGCTCTCTTAGACATGCGCTTTATTTATATACTGTTCTGACTTCCTGTGATGGCTTCCTCAATACGGTCTGCCCAGTGATTCCAGTTTTATTGCTACTGTGAAGCTATCCCTCACTCCCCAAGCCAAGTTCTGTGCCCCCTAGAACTTTGAGTAGACTTAGCATTTGTTCTGCAGCTATTATAATTTTGTCTCTCCAGATTTAAAGTTTCTTGATGGCAAGGACATGTTTTCTTCACAGAGCTTGGCCTCCATAGCAGGCACTCAATAAATTTAGAGTGAGCAAATATCAGGATGCCCACACCTGGCAAGGAAGTCATCCCAGCACATAGCAAAACATCTTTCTCTCTCACATTGCATAAGAGAGTGACTTTCTAGTCTGGGACCTCCACTGGGGTGTCCATCAGAAGCAGCCCAGATGAAGCTTAAACGGCGCTGTGCCAGCCAGAAATGGGAGCCCAAGAGGCATGCACGCCTTCAATCACACATCAGCTCCTCCAGAAAATAGCCCTGCTTCTCCCCACTTCTCTGTGTCTACCAGCCATAGCCCCAGCTTTGCAGAATGAAAAAGGAAGGTCTGAGGTTATGCTAGGTGGTTCTTAGCTTTGCATCCAACCATGTAGCATCTGGACCATGAGAAAGGACCTGAGCTTTTAGTTAGAATTCATTTCTGACCATCATCTTACAGAATCTAGCATCCAAGTAGTGGAATGAATTCCTGGCTTGGGAGGAGTTAAATAGGGAGGCCACTCAGTTCTCTGGTTTGTTTCCCCTTTAATGGTGTTTTGTTTTAATCCTTGGCAAAGGAAAGTGCCTCGCCGCCAACCGGCGAATGAAGGTTAGTAGGCTATGTTCTTGAGAACTGGGATTTCCTCTTCTTTGTTCATCAGGTCACATTGCAGGAAGGGAGAGCTGTTTAAGCGCCCAGCACTGAGCGAGGCACTGAGGTGCTTGCTGCACAAGCAGAGTCACATGTACCTGCTCCAGAGACTAGAGCCAAGAAGAGCTTACACTTCCCACAAACATATCCAGAAATAAGGCTTCAGCAAGGCCTACTTCTCCATGCTCCGAAGTTGTGTAGGAACCTTTTCTAGAAAAAGAGCTCCCAGTGACCTGCATTTTGACAATATGAGTGAGGCAGGCTCTTTCTTTCCTCTAACCAAGGGGATTCTGGCTGTCAAATACTTTTATGGAAAGGAACTAGCTCTGGTTAAACTGAGACTTGCCAAGACTTGTACCCCACTCTCCCCGACTCAAAACACTATATTGTCACCTTGGCTTATAAGGCACCCAGTTTAAAAAATAATAATCATAAAGCACCCAGTTTTCAACATGATTTAGTAGCTCAGGATTCTGTTTGTTTAATCATAAGTGGATTTTGCATGATTAAGCTATAGGGCACCCAGTGAAAATTTGGCCCAGGAAGTTGCTCCATAGTTTTTTGTGATGAATTGTGCCCAAATGTGGCATAGGGTTACCCAGACTCCTTTAAGTCATGATTGTTGAGTTTTCTAAGTAGCGACTTGGGGCTTTTCAATGATGTAAGTAGCAAACATGAACCCTGGTAACAAAGAGGTGACACGTTATTGGCCTAAAAGCTGGTGCTGTAGTTATTTGCTGCTCACTCTGCAGAACTATGAGCATTGCTTTAACTGCAACAAAAACACGGTGAAAATAAAAATCTGATAAAATAGCTCCAGGATGTCACAAGAGGAAAAGCACCTTCTGGGCTGGCAGGTCCTGGACTCTTGATCCAGTTGCAGTTTGAGTTGAGGAGGATGTAAGGGGTTGGTACTATGTGCCTGAGGAAGACCTGTCTGTTTGTGGTTAATGATGATCCCAGAGGGACTCCATTTGTCACAGTAGAATGAAGGGCTCCAAGCACAGAATCAAGTGATTTCTTGCCTGAGATGGCTGAATCTGTTCTTAAAATGCCATTGGATACCCAATTCTATTTCCCCAGAAATTCTCCATCTTTGGCCTTCCCGTTACTGCAAATCAAAAGGTAACCTCACCAGACTATCCTCCCCTCCTATATCTTTGAGTTTCAGGAGGTCATCCTATACCCTCATTCCCTAAGCCTAGGTTTGGTTCACCTCGGAGGCAGGGCCTGATTTCAGAGTAGGACAGGCAGGCCTCTTTAATCAACCCCAGTTATCTGCTTTAAACATTGAAAAATTGGAAAGTTTCCACTTACTTCGGAGTTTTTGTGGTCTCTGTCAGTGCCTCAGAATAAAGCACTTAGCAATAGACAGTGTCTTGTGATCAACATGATTAGGAATGGCTAGTACTTTGTAGAAAGCATGAATAACTTTTACCAGTGCTTCAGCATTTCAGAGTACTTTGCAACCACTGTTTACTCAGCCCTCTCACTGATAGGCTGTTTGGTCCTCATTTTACAGGAAGTTGATACAATGTAGGAAAAGCTGGGGTTCAGGAGACCTGGTCCTCTTCCCATTTCACCATACTCTGTGATCTAGAATTAATGACTTAATTTTGCCATCTGTCTGAATTAGGGGTGGGAGAAGATGATTCTAGAGACTTATCAATTTGTTCTGGTTGTAGCAAGGTAATAATTCTCCTGTGGATTTTCAATAGTTACTATTTAATTTTCCTAATTCTAGAATCCCAAAGTTGGGGCTTAATTTGAATGTGTTTTGGAATTTCCATTATCCTATGATCTGGCCAATCTTGGGACCTTTCAAATCCTGATATATAAGTGGTTGACATTCAAGGAAAATGTCAGAGACATCCAGATGCATCCCATAGCTTGGAGAAATGCTTTTCCCATGGGAGTATAGGAAGGAAGGAGAGTGATCAGGCTAAGAATGAAAACAACTCCATCCATGGTGGTGATGGGGTGTCTTAGCTGCCTGGTTTTCCTCTCATTGGAGAAGTGGAAGAAACAGTATGTGGACATCTGCACTGAACTTAAAAAGATATTATCTTGAGGATGAAGACTCATCAAATGTAGTTTTAACATTTTAAGTCAGTTCTTTCCAAATCAGTAATGAAGTAGTCCGGCTAAAGCAGTTGCCAGTTTTTGGGTCATGAACCCTTTTTGGAAATCTTACAGAAACTATGGATGTTTCTCTGCCAGAAAAACTACCCACATATTCACAAATTGGGATATACTTTTAGGGAGCTCCTATATGCCCTGAAGCCCATGGACCCCAAGTTAGCAATCCCCTGATCTAAAGTGGTGAGTCAGCAGGGCTAGACCGAGAAGGTCAGGGCTAGACCCAGACTTCTAAGCCCATAATTTGCTGCCAAAATTAAACTAGTAACATAAAGTTTTTTTTTCTTTTTTCCCTCTGACCATCACCCTCTTCTTTCTCTATCCCCACACCTTTTGTCATCTCTTCTCGTGCCCTCTCAATGTCTCTCCCCACCTCTTGCGCATCTTGCACCGCAGATGTTCCAGCCTGGTTAAAAAGCCTCCGCCTTCACAAGTACGCTGCGCTGTTCTCCCAGATGACCTACGAGGAGATGATGGCCCTCACCGAGTGCCAGCTGGAGGCTCAGGTACGTGCTCCAGGGGCCGTCCCCTGAGAAGGTGCCCTGGGTGGAACTCGAAGTTCAAGTCCAAGACAGATCTTATTTGGACCCATTCCTATACCTTCCTGGTAGCTGTCTTCTTTGAGGAATTGCCAGGTTCTGGCCAGGGTTGCATGGTGAGTAAGGCGAGGGTCTTGCCTTCAGGGTCCAGTAGGAAATGGAAGACAAGCAGATAACCACAGGGCAAATGAGGGCAAGATAGAGTATCATGAAAAAGGTATAACCTAGGTACGCTCACTAAGTTCAAGGGTGCTAGGGAGGAATCGGTGGCATCTCCTAGAAGTGGAACATTTGACCAAGGTCTCAAAAGAGCCTGTGTCCTGCTTATGCTTTCTTTTCCTCCTTCCCTCTGTCCAACCAGGGTGTGTTTGGGGAATGATAGAACGATTGGTTGTCTGTTGTCCGGTCTGGTTACAAATCAACTAAGTTCTAGTAGTTACTGAGCAGAAGCACCCGCTCACGCCTCAACACTTGTACAAAAGCATGTTCTGACTGGTCTTAGCTGAGATTGGAGTAAGCTGCACAATATTTTTTCCCTCTAACCACCTTCAATAACGCAGGACAGTTATTGAGATGGGATTCCCTCAGGTCTCAGATTTCATTTCCCTTCTGCGTACCACAAAGGAACAAAGCTCCTCCTTCCTTCTAAGGCGTCTTTCCCCAAGTGCGGTTGCCAAAGGCCAGGCCAGTCAACAGAACCCCCGAAACTAAGCATGTTTCCTACCACGCTGTGCTCGAGTAAATAGATCTGACTGATGTCTTTGTTTCCCTTGTTTAAAATGCTATTTGCATGTTTTAAATTGACCTCGGTTTCCTTTGAGCAGTGACTTAAAAGAATTAATGGTCTGAACAGGCTAATAGTATTTCCCCTGCAGGAAGAGGAGATTGTGCCATTTGGGGCATAGCTGGTCTGAACACATACCTCCCAGCAGATCGCTGGACTCCCGGTACACATCCAGTTCCCTCAGTTAACCTCTGCTGGCCTGGCTGGATACCAATATTGAGATGCAAGACAAAACCCAAAGTCACTGCCCATTCTCTGAGAATGAAAGGCACTCGTTTCAACTTCCTAACGCTTCTCCCTCTGCTTTTTCATCTCGGTTGCTCCTTGAGATCCCAGGAATTGATGAGAACTGCTTCTAAGAGCATTTTTTGTCTTTGGGTCATAGTTGAGAGAAAAATCTAAGTCATCAAAGTTGTTTGACTTCAGGAAAAACAAAACAAGAAATAATTGATGCAGAGGGCAATGCCAGAGGCCAGCACAAACTTTTCAGAGTGATTTCATTCGCTCTAACCCAAAGTCAAGGCTAAACAGAAATATGTCCTCGGTGCTTCATCTTGAGAATGAGTTCAGTTGTCAGTTGACAACTTAATTTTCCTAAGTAAAGGAGATGTCGCTGGGGTTGCCATCTTTTCCTTTTTTAAGAGGAATGCTATGAAGAGTTGTAAGAAGTTTGTATTAGAGACCTCATTTCAGAAAGAACCTCCTATTTGGGAATTTGCAGTATGCGTAGTTAACAAGTGTTAAACTAAACCCTTCGGCTCATCATTGCTGCACAATTAAGAAGATAAGATCCACCACCCTGTGAATCCTAATCATTTACCTGAAGTGAGGACTGAATTGTAGGTTTAAGTCTCCTGACAAAAACTGCCTGTGTGTTGTGACACCAGGTGAGACCTGTACTGGACTTCACATCTTCTCGAGATGGGAAGCATAGGAAAGATCAGAGGAAGCCATGAGTATCTCTATGGGGTTGGAACTCCAGGGAACCTGGCGGGGAGCCTGGAAAAGAGATGTGTGTGACTTAAAAATGATCTGTTAAGACTATAAAGATGCCCTGGCTGTTTTGGCTCAGTGGGTAGAGCGTCAGCTTGTGGACTGAAGGGTCCTGGGTTCGATTCTGGTCAAGGGCATGTATGTCGGTTGCAGGTTTCATCCCCAGCCTTAGTCAGGGCACATACGGGAGACAAACAATTGTTGTGTCTCTCCCATATTGATGTTTCTCTCTCTCTCTCTCTCCCCTTCCCTTCCTGTTATGTCTCTCCCATATTGATGTTTCTCTCTCTCTATCTCTCCCCTTCTCTTCCACTCTCTCTAAAATTCAATGGAAAAAATACCCTCAGGTGAGGATTAACAAAAAACAAACAAACAGCCCTAGCTGGTTTGTCTCAGTGGATAGAGCATCAGCCTGCGGACTGAAGAGTTCTGGGTTCGATTCCAGTCAAGGGCACATGCCCAGGTTGTCAGGTTGTGGCCCAGTAGGGGGCATGCAGGAGGTAGCCGATCAATGATTCTCTCTCATCATTGATGTTTCGATCTCTCTCTCCCTCTCTGAAATCAATAAAAATATATTTTAAAAACAAACAAAGAAGACTGTGAAGGAATTTCATGCGGGGTGGGGTAATTGGCTATTCCAGCTCTCTTCCTCTCCTGAAGGTTACAGCAAAAGACACAGGCTCGGGTGGAGCCAGATGGAGTTAGACTACTAAGCAAGAAGAGGTTTCTAGCAATAGGTGCTAACAGGAGAGACAAGTAGAGATTTACTAGTCTGCAAACCTGTAGAAACAAAGCAAACAGTAAAGTACTAAATAGCCTCCCAGTCTCTAAGCTACTTCTTAAAAAAAATTTTTTTTAAATATAACTTTAATTCAATTGCAGAATGTTACCAAAGGTGCAAGGCACAAAATTGTCATCAGTATTCAGAAGCTCAAAGAAAGACAAAACCTCCTGAAGTCTTTGGAAAGGGTAAGTTATTCCCGGCCGAGAGGATGTTCCCACCTTCATCACGGGGAAATGGACCGGGGACTTTCCTCATTTGGAAAGTGTCACTGGCAGACCCGATAGAGTGTGTCATGCTGTTTCCTTATCAAAGTTAGGGAAAATGGCATGATTTTGAAGCGCAGCCTCCTGGCTATTCATGCTTCCATGTAACCTGACTACTGACATGTACTTGTTCCCGGGGCCCAGGCAGCCTGTAACTGGCCATTCCAGGCACAGAGGAAGTGCTGTCAGATGAATTCTCTGTGTACATTCCCTCTGCCTTTTGTGCATGTGGAGAGATTAGAGAAGAGTTCAACGTACAATCAGAGGCTGAAATCCTGACAAAACAGTGTGCAGATCTGCCTCATGCCTGCTCCCCACCACCCAGGGAAGGACCTGGGTTTGAGGAAAGCTGCCCCAGGGTCCAACCCACAATCAGAGGCTGAAATCCTGACAAAACAGTGCAGGGAGTGTGCAGATCTGCCTCTTGCCTGCTCCCCACGCCCAGGGAAGGACCTGGGTTTGAGGAAAGCTGCCCCAGAGGGGCCAACACCAACAGGTGTGCCCCAGGTCCCACTAGAGAGGGGATCAAAGTCACTTGGCAGACGGCAGCGCTGGCTCTCCAGAGAGTAATTTCACACTTTCACTGAACAACAGAATAGGTCCTCATGACTCGGATAGGAACCATCTCAAAAATGCCAAATGCTGAAAAAGAGTTTATTCCAGTGTTAAAAGCAGTTATCAGCTGCTACTGTCCCTCTGTGTTTGCTGTCTAAACACATTCTCGTCCTATCTTTGTATCCAGACATCACTCTGGAAACGATGTCATTTTTAGGACTTGGTGACTTTATGATTTCATCTAAGGGCCAGAGGAGAGCAGGCCTGGTTCCACACACAGTGAGCTGTCTGCTCTGCCCCAGAGTCGCTATTCCATGCACTACTGTTGGGAGGCGGTGGAGTGGCGGTGGGAAGTTCAGTAGTTATCTGCTGCCTGCAGAGCTCCAGTGGCAACCTCGTTAGCTATCTCCCAGGCGCCTTTGGAAGGGAGCAAAGTAGAGGTAGGTAGGGCTAAAGTGAGGTTTGTGAGCACATACACATTTTAATGCAATGGGAGGTGTGTTTTCTTGACTTATTCACAAAATGTGTGTATACTTTTACATGCCGTATATAGTTATAGTTAATGCATAGCCCACACCGTAGAAGGTAAGGTATATTTATAGAATATGCACATATGTTTTCTAAGGAAGGTTGCTTTTAAAGCCTCTGGATGGATACACAGAGACTACTCACATGCACATCCAGGCCCGTTCACAATTAGCTCATCATGGATGACGGTGACCTCTGCAACTGACCTTGAGGTTATTGCTGCTGTTCAAACTTCTACGCTAACTGCTTTACTAAGCAGCTTGTCCACCGGAGTGATTGTTGCCATTTTTAACACAAGAAACCGTTCTCTTTTGGGAAACATTGAAAAGGCCAGTTTTGGCCTTATCTGTTAGGAAGCACAAAGAACATTTTGCGTAGGGATTGCATTGCTAAGTGTTACGATGAAAGAGTGATTTACCCCCCTTGTTTCTGGAGCATCCCTCAGGAACGCATTCCTGTCCCGTCCCTGAGGAAACACACGCAGAGACAGAGAGGTGGAATTGCTGTGAGCTTTGCTCCCTGTGGCCTGGGGCCGAATCAGTGTGTGGAAGCCCCAGGGCAGCCAGGTAGTCCCTGCGGCCCTGACTTCCCATCTAACCTTTGATGCATCAGTGATGTTTTCTGCGTCCCAGACTTCACACCTAGAATAATATTGACTCTGCAAAATGACTCTCCGCTGGAATGGGAATGTCGAAAAGATGACAGGTGTGATACGGAGTCTGAGGGCAGCTACTGGGCAGGAGGAGAGCAATGCAGAGTTTATCTGGTTTGACTTCTGTGAAGAGGAAAGCTTGTAGGTCAGACCATCATGTTGAGCTTGCTTCAGAACATCCACATTCAGCCACCTGCTTGTCTGTCCCCTCAGGAGCTCGTGGCCTGGGGGTGGAGGGGAACCCCAACTCAGCATCCACCAAGGACAGCCCCTGGCTCTGTTCTCTCTTCCCTGGGACCTGGGTCTCTCCTGCTCTTCAAGGGCCGTATCGTCCATAACCTATTGCCACTTGGGCCACCAGGACACCCTGAAACCAGCCATTTCTCTGGCCTTCCAGGCATCCTCAGCTGATTGTGCTGTTGGAAATGCTGTCCCATGACCTGGCCTCCCACAGCATTCTTACCTCACAGAGAACCTGGGGATTTCTAAGGAGATCGTGGGACCCCGCCCGTGGCTAGTTCACAATCAGTAGTCACTGCAGATGAGCTCTGTGTCCAGAGCCGTTCCACTCAGTTACTGAACACTTACTCAGCATCTGCCTTGGACTAGATTTACCCCGGCCACTGGAGGCGAATCCTGAGTAATACGCAGTTCCGGCCTTGGGGGCTCCACGCATAGCCAGAGCTCTCACACTCTAGTGTGATCGGGGGCGTCATCCCTGAGGAGGGTGAGGACGTCTTCCTGGACTGAACACACCTCTCTGCAGGGTGAGGAGAGGAACCTGAAAGGGGCCAGTGCTGGCTGGGAGACACATTAGGAGCCTACAGCCAGTCTCCGGGGGCCCTTGAGCCACAGCAGGGACCAGGAGGGTGAAGGGTCAGAGGCCATTTAGCAGGAGTCCAAGCATTGGTAAGGGGGCTTGGACCTGGATGCCAGGCCATTTGGGACAAAAAAACATAAGAGGGTTCCAAGTGTGGGGAAATGGAGCTCAGTTTGACGGATCGAGTCTGCGGTGCCTGTGGAATAGCAAGGCAGAAAGGCAGGTCCGTGGCCAGAAGAACAGTTTAGAGTCCACAGGGGTTTGAAAGACTCAGTTGTGGGTCATCTGTGTATAAGGAGGGTTCCCAGTGTGGGAAAATGGAGCTCAGTTTGACGGATCGAGTCTGAGGTGCCTGTGGAATAGCAAGACAGAAAGGCAGGTCCGTGGCCAGAACAGTCTAGAGTCCACAAGGGTTTGAAAGACTCAGTTGTGGGTCATCTGTGTATAAATGTTAGTTGATACCCTCAAAAGTGTGTTGAGTGTTAAGAGCTGAAGACAGGCCCTGAGAAGTCACAGGAGGTTTGGAGGAACCAGACACTGCTGAGCCTGCCCCACGGGTCAGAGAGAGAGTCTGAAGGCGGGAGTCTCATCGGGCACCATGCATGTGTCACATATGATGAGGCTTGAACTCTCCCCCTATAATTGGTTATCAGGAGGTCACCCATAGCCAAGATGAGAAGGGTTTCAAGGAGTTGGGAAGAGACCAAAGCGAAACCCATGAACTGGGGAGTAAAGGTGGGTGATGAGGCTCTGGGGTAAGGACATGTAGACTTCTCAAGATATTTGGTGGAAAAGGGAAAAGATTAGAATGGTCATTGAGGCAGATTTTTTTTAACATTTATCTTTAATAATGAAATGTTTATTCACCATCCTTTTCAGCTGACTCCCAAACTGTGAAGCTCAATCAGACATACTCTGAGCCTGGGACCCTGGGATGGAGAAAGGAGATACACACACACACACACACACACACACACACACACACACACACACACCTACACCTCTTCCATGTTCCCACAACCCCCTGCCCTGGCAGTATACTCACACCGTATGGGTCCCAGCAACTGTAAGCTTCTTAGGTCAAGGATTCAGCCATATTTGTTTCTAGATCCCCTATATCTAACAGTGCCTGACTCCAGGTAGGGCTCAGCTGATGTTTGGTGAATGAAAAGGAGAGAGGATGGATTTAAGTAGATGCAGGAGTCCTGTTTATGGTATGGAAGTCCAGTTCTTCTCACAGAAAGACAAGGATGGAGCCACGGACAGTTGCGTACGTGTCAGGGACACTGGCTGCTGAAGCTCTCTGCTGTATGATTTGCATCTCCTTGCTGTTCAATGCCCTGGGAAAGGCTTGTCCAGTCTTCCTCAAAGACCTAAAAGAGCCAGGCCAGGAAGGCTGGGACGGTCTGAAAATAGCTTTCTTCCAGCTGGTCCACCTTCCAGCTGGTGGCCGTGCCATGGTGGACCAGCCTTCCTATTACCTGTTCCCATGTGAGCCCTCAGTTCTCATGTGAGCCCTGCGTGTGAACACGCAGCTTCATTTTTGCCTTTTTGTTTATAATATAGGATTCCATTTATGGCATGAGGATCAATAGAGACTTGGGTTGAATCCCTGTTTTTGTCAACATGGAGAATTAATCCCAACAGCTAGTTGAGGGCACTGGATTGAGTCCCATTTGGGCGTTTTCTACTTTCCTGCTCCACTTGGGCACTCCGTGTTGAGTTCGGGAATTCATTTTGAGGAGTCAGCATGTGACCTGATGGTCTTGGTGCCACACCGTGGAAGCTGATGGTTAAGCGTTATCTTTGAGTCAGTGGCTTGAAGTCTGTGGGGGAAACCAAACCAAACCCTGCATGATTCCTGTAAATTATATTTCCCGAAAGTGTCCAACATTATTCATTATGTGTATAGTTTCCCTTTTGGTGTGGTTGTCTCCAATAGAATAAGATAAGATTTGAACTTGGGGCAAGTATATGTTTCCTATTTGAAGGAGTTCAGCTCTTAGCATAACCCATAATCTCCTTCCCCGTCATTGAGTAACTACAGAGACCTTCTTGCCACATGACGAGAGCAAACGAAGGTCTGGTGGCAGTTGACGATGTCACAGGCATGCATTTGCTCGCCTCCATGGTAGGTGCCATGTGGGATGGCATGACAAGATGCATGCGATGCCCTTCTGCTTTCATGGGAAGCCTCCCTACTTTTCTGTCCTGCCCCTTCCCCACCTCTGTCAGGAGCTGGACAAGGAGGTAGGTGCCATGTGGGATGGCATGACAAGATGCATGCGATGCCCTTCTGCTTTCATGGGAAGCCTCCCTACTTTTCTGTCCTGCCCCTTCCCCACCTCTGTCAGGAGCTGGACAAGGAGGTCAGAACCCAGGTGCTGGTTGAGTGGTTGGCAGGAACTGGAGGACCTAGAGGCAGGAGTCCAGTTGACACATAGTTGGGTCAGAAGGGGCAGCAAGGGCTCTCCTGGCATGGGTCAGCTAGCTCGCCTCCATGTGCCTTGCCCCGAACCAGATTACCAAGTCCAAAGTCAGAGAACCAGTCACGTGACAGGATCAGATTCTGGGAAAAGGCTGGTCCAGTCTGGGCAGCAGGAAAACTGGAAGTGATCAGGAGCACCCCAACTCACACATCAGGCTTGCCAGCACAGGCTGCGGCTGGTCTCGCCATGGCCATATCCACCAGGTGTTGAAAGAAAAATGGACTCTTTCCCCTAAAGAAGGCCGGGCAGTGGTCCTGGCCAGGACTGAGACAATTCTGGTGGCTACTTAGCATTTCCCTTCCCTCAGGAACCCCGGGTGCCAACTAGGCGAAGGCACAATTCAGGCTCTGCTCCCAACTCCCTGAACAAAGCGTGTTCCCGCCAATGACAGAGCAGGGCAATTGGTGTTTTGCTGCCCAGAATTGGAACACATCTGTCCAGGGCTGCCGTCCTCAGGTCTCCTCTTACTAACTGATTGATTAGAAAGTCAGGGTGCAGAAATGATCACATTCTATATCCTTGTGTTCCGTGACATCATCAAGCAATTTTTCTTGGCAAGAGAGGATCCCAGGAATGGATTGGTGCTCGTGCTTTTAAAATTGTCCTTGCTATTCTGGGCTCTCGGAAGATTAAATCTTCATTAGTAATCAGGGCACTGCTTGTCAGCGTCCTTCCGGGATCCCAGGGCATAAGCACTGGGCAGCGCTGGGGCAGAGGCTGGGCCCACCCACTATGCCAGGGAAGAGCCCTGCCCCGACCTCCAGCCACGAGTGTCTGGGCCTGTTCGGCACCTCTGGGAGCACTTGGCACGTGGGTAAATGTCTGTCAGAATCAACTTCCATTCCTTTTCCTAATAAATAATCCCCAGTATATCAAACTGCATGTGCAGAAAGATCTAATTTATCAAGTCGTATATATATATATTATATGCAATTTTATACATTATACTACACATATATCTTACATGTCTTTCTCTCTCAAATGAAACTTCTAAAACATGTTGTGCCCCTGCGACAAACCTTCCCTCATTTCCCATTCATTTAGAAGAAATTCTTGCATCCCTGCCCCAGCCTGCAGGCCTCCACACTCAGCCCCCTGTGGCTCCTCGGAACTCATTTCCCACCCTCCTCCCCTCACCCACTCTGCTTCACGTGACACAAAAATAGACCTGCAGCTTTACAAATATTAATATCATTACAACCACCTGATGAGGCAGGTACTATTGTTATCTTCATTTTATACACAGGGAAACAGGATCAGAGAGGTTAAGTCATTTACCCAAGGTCACACAGCAGTGTCAGAATTTGAAACCTCACATCCATCCTAGAATCTGTGCTCTAAACCACTACCCTGTGTTTCCTGTATCATGGGCTGAATGAAGGTTCCTTCACTTAAAACCACTGACACACAAGACAGGAAGCCACCATATGACCCTGCCTCAAGCTTTGTTATACAGCTTCTGAAGTATGTGAGTGTAAGCAATAGAAGTGCATTTTCTAGAAAGGCCCTGAAGAAGCTAGGGAAGGAAATGGACCGAAATCATTTTAGTGATCATCTCTGGATAGTGAGGTTTTCAGGTGACTTACATTTTCCTCACTGTACATATCTGTATATTCCAAGTTTCCTACCTGGGCTAATATTAGATAAAATGGAAATGGTTGCTTTTCCAATGAATGTATGATGAAGGGCCAACAGCCCTGCGTCCTGTCTGGGAAGAGCTCTGGGCAGGGCAGGGGAAGCATTGGAGGCGGGGCACCCCGTCCCTGACCCTAATGTCGGTCTTCTCCCTCTGACCGTCTAGGACATCATCGAGGGGGGCAGCCTTCGCATCCCACTCCAGGAGCTGCACCAGATGATCCTGACTCCTATCAAGGCCTACAGCTCCCCGAGCGCCACCCCCGAGGCTCGCCGCCGGGAGCCCCAGGCCCCACACCCGGCTTCGCTCAGGGGCCCCGGGGGCCACAGCCACCACCTCAGCCGGCGCCAGCGGCGGGCTCCAGCCACACCATCTGAGCAGCTGTGACGGGGAGCTGGCTGTCGCCCCCCTGCCGGAGGGGGATCTCCCCGGGCAGTTCACGCGTGTCATGGGGAAAGGTAGGCCTGAATTCCCCCAATCTCCCTTCTCAACACCACTAACCAGAACTACCAGTCCCCGAGGGGCTTCCCCTGGGGGCTGGATCAGCTGCCTGCCAAGGTCGATGTCATGAGCCCATTGTACAGATGAGGAAAGTGTGGCTCTGAGAGGTTGAGGAATTTGGATCTGAACTCAGATCTCTCTGACCTCCAAAGGTCCCTTCCTTAACCTTGTATCCTTCCTCTCCCACTCCAGACCAGGGCTGCTAGCCCTCCTGGCAGAGTCACTGGGCCTTGGACCCTCAGGCTGAAACAGCGATTTCAACCTTTTCATCGCAGGGCACACATTAATTACTGAAATTCTGCAGCACACCAAAAATATATGTTCTGCTGATATGACGAAAAATGGGTATAACTTCTATCTGTTCATACTGGGCAGCTATTGTGTTGGCTGTTGTCATTTTTTCCTTTGGCAATCTTAGGAGAAAGGAGGTCAGTGCCCCTGACTAAGTAGTCAGATATTGCATGTTTTACAGATTCTCACAGCACACCAGTGTGCCTCGGTGCATATGTTGAAAATCATTGGGCTAAAGTCAGCCCTGACAACAGATCATTCCGTGTGTGTGTGTGTGTGTGTGTGTGTGTGTGTGTGTGTCTGGAGGGCAGGACAGAATTCACACGTGGTCCTTTGGGTAAGAGCACACTTTCTACCTGGACTGCCTGTGGCTAAGCTCCTGTGCACATACCCTGGTCCAATGCCAGAATAATTTGTGCTTGATAAGTATGTCACAAGAAAACATGATTACTTGAAAAATGTAGTGAATATCGGTACTTTACTTTCAGGAAGGGGAGATGATTTTTTTCTTCTTTATTGTCCAATATTTTAGACCATTTTAAAGAACAAAGTTTTTACCAACAGATATGGACACTTGAGTCTTTTTTAAAATCATATATATCTTTTTGTTGATTTCCAAGAGGAAGGGAGAAGGAGAGATAGAAATATCAATGATGAGAGAGAATCATCGATTGGCTGCCTCTTACACGCCCCCTACTAGGGGTCAAGTCTACAACCAGGGCCTGTGCCCTGACTGGGAATTGAGCTGTAACCTCCTGGTTCATCGGTCGATGCTCAACCACTGAGCTACACTCACCGGGCTAGACACCTGAGTCTTACAGTTGCACTAAGAAACTTCCCGTGGTACATGTCCTACAAAAGACTTAAATCCTTAAAAATCTGATTCAGAGGAGATAATTTGGATCGAACTCAGATCTCTCTGACCTCCAAAGGTCCCTTCCTTAACCTTGTATCCTTCCTCTCCCACTCCAGACCAGGGCTGCTGGCCCTCCTGGCAGTCACTGGGCCTTAGACCCTCAGGCTGAAGCATCGATTTCAATCTTTTCATCGCAGGGCACACATTAATTACTAAAATTCTGCAGCACACCGAAAATATATCTTCTGCCTATATGACAAAAAATGGGTATAATTTTTATCTGTTCATACCGGGCAGCTATTGTGTTGGCTGTTGTCATTTTTTCCTTTGGCAATCTTAAGAGAAAGGAGGTCAGTGCCCCTGACTAAGTAGTCAGGTATTGCATGTTTTACAGATTCTCGCAGCACACCAGTGTGCCTCGGCGCACGTGTTGAAAATCATTGGACTAAAGTCAGCCCTGACAACAGATCATTCCGTGTGTGTGTGTGTGTGTGTGTGTGTGTGTGTGTGTGTGTGTCTGGAGGGCAGGACAGAATTCACACGTGGTCCTTTGGGTAAGAGCACCCTTTCTACCTGGACTGCCTGTGGCTAAGCTCCTTGTGCACATATCCTGGTCCAATGCCAGAATAATTTGTGCTTGATAAGTATGTCACAAGAAAACATGATTACTTGAAAAATGTAGTGAATATCGGTACTTTCAGGAAGGGGAGATAATTTTTTTCTTCCTTATTGTCCAATATTTTAGACCATTTTAAAGAACAAAGTTTTTACCAACAGATATGGACACTTGAGTCTTTTTTAAAATCATATATATCTTTTTGTTGATTTCCAAGAGGAAGGGAGAAGGAGAGATAGAAATATCAATGATGAGAGAGAATCATCGATTGGCTGCCTCTTACACGCCCCCTACTAGGGGTCAAGTCTACAACCAGGGCCTGTGCCCTGACTGGGAATTGAGCTGTAACATCCTGGTTCATCGGTCGATGCTCAACCACTGAGCTACACTCACCGGGCTAGACACCTGAGTCTTATAGTTGCACTGAGAAACTTCCCGTGTTACATGTCCTACAAAAGACTTAAATCCTTAAAAATCTGATTCAGAGGAGATGACCTGTGGCATCCCTTGGGGCTGAAATGCCAGTAGCTTGGTCTCCTCCCCTCGCCTCCTTGCTCTCCCCCACCCCCTAGTGGGCACTTAGAGCAGATGACCAGAGCCCATGGATGAAGGGCCATGTGGTGTGGGGGTGGTTGCCTGAGTGTGAGGTGCCTCACCCCACCTCCCCTGTGGCGAGAAGTATAGGGGGCTCTGCCCTCAGGAGGCCTGCACTTCTCTGGCCCAGCTTGTTTATAAAGTTTAAATGCTTTTAAATAAATTATAAAATAATTGCAAGGTCAACATAAAAAATCAGAACTACACAAAATGGGAGACAGTGGAAACTAGCCCTCCCACCCCAAGCCTCAGAGGCAACCACTATGAACAGGTTTGGAATATGCCCTGGGTAACTTTATACAAGCACATGAGTGTCCTTTTTACACACACACAGGTCTTGTTTACATGTTTCTCTGCAGTTTTTTTTTTACATTATATAGTTTTAACAGTTCTATCAATACAGTAGCACCAACGCTTTTTTAATATTTCTATCCATGCAGTAGCACCAACTCATTCTTGCATACTATCCCACAGTATGTGTAAACCATAATTGATGTAATGGCCCCAGTGAATGGACCTCAAAGTGGTTTCCAAGTTTCTGTTGTTACAAACAACGCTATAATCTTACGCAAGATTAAGGAGAGAGAAAAAAGTCAGAATGCCTAGGTTTCAAGTGTGATTTACTGAGTGCCAGGCATTTTCACTTCTAATTGATGTCTTTTGTCATCAGTTAGAAGTGAGCAGAATGGGCTCCACTGATGTGGCCATGAAACCCAGCAGCGTGTGTCCTCTGCCCACAGACTCACTCTGCTGTCAGCCTCAGCACTTACCTGAGTGTGTAGGTGAACCTGTGTGTGTATAAGTGCGTGGATCACTTTGAGAAATAACCCTCCAGTGATTGAGCATCAGGCCTCCTGCTCGTGTGTGCACCCACGCACCTCACGTCCTAAAGGATGTGCCAGCTTGATTCCTCCAAATGAGGCGCGCGGTTCATTCATAAAAATCACGGAGACTGCTCTCTAATAACACGGATGGCCTTTGCTGCCTTTGAACTCCCTCTCAAAAGGAGCCTCTTGCAAAGACAGAGCTCGGGACACTGCTGCGTTCTTCCTCCCCCAGCGTGTCTGTGTCAGGCTGGGTTGCAGAAGGCTTAATATAGAATGGTATGCCTGGAATTCATCGACGGGGCTCCTCGAGGCAAGGGCTCCCGTGGTGCCCGAGCCTTTGACTTCAGTGGGATGAGGAGCCTCCTGGCCTTCTTTGTGATCCTTACGTACAGCCACAGGCACACAGACCTCTCAGTATTGGTCCTGAAAGGAAATGAGAAACAGATCTCAAGGTTAGGAGATGGGTGTGCATTTTTCTAATTCATCTTTTTTTTTTTTAATTCACAGTGTGCACACAGCTCTTGGTCTCCAGACCCGATGAGGAGAATATAAGTTCCTATTTACAGCTCATAGACAAGTGTCTAATTCATGAGGTGAGTCATGATAGATTTCACAACGCCTTTTTCCTCATTGCTTAGAAATGGTTCCTGTGGTGGGATCATTTGAATCAGCAACAACTTGTTTCTGTGGGGTAGATGTCCGAATAGCTCGGGCAGAACTCGGCGTGGTGGCCTCAAGCCTAAACAAAGCTTGTATATAACTTAGTTGTCCAAAGATTCGTCCGGGCTGAGCTCTGATGTGAGGGTGCAAGCCTGAGAGGAACTTCTGACTCCAGAAGAATCTCTGAGTGACCAAGCCTGGGAGGTGTGCACACAGTCCTGCCACCCAGCCCCTGATGTTCTCAAGTCTTTCAATGCTTTGCCTTGAAACATTTTGCCTTTGGACTCAAGGAACTTTGAGGGAGGGGTGGAGAAAGAGTCTGCAGCAGAAACAATGTGTGTGTGTGGGGGGTTGTTTTTAGCCATGTGTCCTTTTTTTTTAAATATATTTTATTGATTTTTTACAGAGAGGAAGGGAGAGGGATAGAGAGTTAGAAGCATCGATGAGAGAGAAACATTGATCAGCTGCCTTCCGCACACCCCCAACTGGGTATGTGCCTGCAACCAAGGTACATGCCCTTGACCGGAATCGAACCTGGGGCCTTTCAGTCCGCAGGCCGACGGTCTATCCACTGAGCCAAACCAGTTAGGGCGCCATGTGTCCTTTGAAGAAGGACCGAGGCAGGCTGGAGCTGTGCCTACCAGGCTCTCAAAGCTAGCACAGTCTCCACCACGGGGCGGGCAGGTGCTGGCCATGGCTGCCCTGAGCGACATGTGGGGACAGGCCGTTGTGCCTCAAATCCAAGACTCCAGTGGCTGCTTTGGTGGCTCTCCTCCAGAGAGTTCCAGTGACAAAGTCTGGGCCTCAGGAAACTTAGGACTGGATAACCCTAGAGCCGTGGTCTGCAAACCGCAGCTCAAGAGCCACATGCGGCTCTTTGGCCCCTTGAGTGTGGCTCTTCCACAAAATACTACGTGTGGGCGCACACGTACAGTGCGATTGAAACTTCGTGGCCCATGCGCAGAAGTCGGTATTTTGTGGAAGAGCCCACACTCAAGGGCCAAAGAGCTGCATGTGGCTCGCGAGCCGCAGTTTGCCGAGCCGCAGTTTGCCGAGCCGCAGTTTGCTGACCGCTGCCCTAGAGCATTGAGGTTTTTTTGTGGGGTAAAGGCCTCCAAGTCTCCTCACCTTTGCTGTGGTGGCGGCCAGAACCCTGGGAGTCCAGGGGCCCCCAGTTTGGGGAGATAGCCAGTGCAGAGGTCTGGCCCCTCACCCACCCTCCCTGTGTGGTCAGTTCCCTGGGGCCCCCACCTCCGTGCTCTGACTCTGCCCATCCTCGTGTGCAGGTGTCAAATCTCCTGCTGGGTTTCCACTCCAGCCACGCTTCCCCCACCCCCTAAAATCTCATTTTTGCAATTTTCTCTCACAGCGGCATCCATTCTTTTATGTGCCTCTCCCCAACTCCCCCCTCCCCGCCCCCACTCAATCTTTTCTATTTCCAGTCCTGGCCCTGCACTTGTTTTGACCAGCAAAAAGCCACGGACAGAAGACAAGAGCACAGTGATGAATTTCTGAACTCATTCATTCCATAGATATTTATCACTCCCCCTGGCCCTGGCCAGGCACCTTATGGTGAGGGTCGTGGGTGAGACGCAGGGAAAACAGGTTGTCATGTACATGACGATAAAGCCTCTGAGAGGCCCTCCCGGCATGCCCCAGAGCCCAGATGAGGAGTGGCAGGCACCTGCCCGAGCCAGAAGCAGGTGTTCCTCAGAGGGGCTGCCCCCACGCTCAGCTCGCCCAAAAGGCAGGCAGAGTCTCATGGCTCGGTGAGGAAGGAGGCAGGAGAGTGATCCAGGCAGACAGGCAGTGTTTTGGGGGGTTCTGTGTCTTGTTAGGGAAGACCATTGGGGAGGATTTCGAGAAGGGAACCTTTAAACTTCTGAGAAAGCAAAGCAGATCCCTGCTTCCTCTCCCACGTTCACTCTGAGCAGTGGAGGACAGGTTGCCTCCACTAGCCGGCTGAGCCCAGGAGGCAGAGTGACCGTCCTCCGCCACCTCTGCTTCCTAGTTGGACCACACCAGCCCCACAGCTGTGGCCTGAGGCTTATCACTGGCCTGCCTCGGGTGTGCCCTCCCTGGGCATCGTGGCTCTTCTTTTTGCTTCTTTCCACTTTTTCTCCCCGATGCCCAGTGACCCAATGCAAAGATGACACTGAGGGCTCCTCTGCCGGCAGGAGGCCCAGGCAAGGGGCCTCTCGGTACCGGGAGTCACGGCAGATAGGAGCTGGGGCTGAATCCGCTTGTCTGAATTCAGGTCGGGATGGAGGGCCTGCGCTCTGCTTTGGAAGGGAAAATGTTGTTCAAGCCTTTTTATTATTTTAGTTGAGAAGGAGGAAACGTGTCTGAATCATTTTCCACAGGCCTGGGTTGTGTGTAAGAGAACGCACCCTCCCTGCGGCCAGAGGGGAGGTCAGCCTGGGCTCCGGACAGGGCTGCCTTCCTCAGCCCACAGCGCTGCTGCTGCTGCTACTGCTGCTGCTGCTACTGCTGCTGCTGCTCCGCCCACTGCAAGGGGAGGTGTGGTTACTTCCAAGGCACCTTCCTTCCCGGGGATGAAGGACCGACTCCCTAGAGAAAGAAAAGGAAGGATAGGCAAGTTCTGGATTCTGTATCTGGGACCAACCACTTCCTCATGGATTGTAATCCCAGGCATATTGCCTGCTTGCGGTCTTGACAAGGTTCTGGGAATCTGAGCGCTTGTCCCCTTAATGAGGCTTTTTATCCAGCCACCAAAGCTGCAGGACACATCTTCCTCCAGACAGACGGATTGGTCTGGGCCTGACAGGGACAGAAGACGGAGCAGTGGCTGGCTGGCTGTGTCTGGGCAGCCTGCAGTGTGGAATCTTCCTTCCCCTCCAGCCCAGGGTGGAGGAGGCTGGGGTGTGGTACCAGCCGTCCCAGCCGATGGCAGAGCACAGGAACCAGCCTTCAAAAACCACTGGGAGCCCGCCATGGCCCAGCGCTCTGCTCCCAGCTGCCCCTCCCAGGACTGAGAACCGGCCTCCACACTCACTCGCTCTGCTGGGGGCTCGCTCCTGTCTGTGCCCCGGCACTAAATGAGCCTGAGGCCCAGGTGCGGAGTGAGTGAGCTGACCCCTCCTTGGAGGTGCCTACATGTCCATCTTTTCAGATGCTCTTTGCCCCCGTGGCCAAGGTCATGTGTGAACTGCTGTCCCTGGAAACACTTTAAATGCACATCTATCGAGTGAACCATTAACTCCTTTGTCACTTGAAATTCAGGCTTGTCCTCCAGTCTGGCTCCAAACCAGCTCAGGACTCTAGTTTTGAGACCTTGAAGTCATTTGTTGGGGCTAAAAGGTGGCTGTTGAACACCAACTGTGACAAACACACACATGCCACCACCCAAGGGCTGGTCCACGCAACTGAAAATAGCCGGTTAGAGTATCTGTGAGTGGCGTGGGTGGAATCATTACTAAGAGCCAGGCATGTTCTTAAGTATTCTGAGTGCTTTTCGTGTGTTATCTCATTTCATCCTTACAGCGTCCATTAGAGGGAGACATTATCACCCTCAGCTTTTAGAAGGAGCAGAGTCTCAGGTGGAGGGATTCGCATAAGGGAGTGTGGGGATTCGCACCCTCCCGTGTGCATCCAGGGCTTTCCTCTGACCCACTGGCAGGGCCCTCCTCCTCATCTCATCTCGACCAGGGTGCCTGCATCTTGTGTCCTCACTTAACATCTGGCTGAATGAGCCCGTCAAAAGCAGAATCTATCCATCCCTTTGTGAGTCCAGCAGATGTGTTTGCCTGTCGCAGTTTTCAGAGGTGGTCCTGTGTAGTTGGACACTCACCGAGCATCACCAAAAATGAGAGGGACCACGGAGGAGAACCAGGTCCTCGCCTTTCAGCCATGAAACTGTCCTGCCACTCACCTGAGTGGGGGGTCTGCACCTCTTTCTCTAATGGGGCACTGGGTCCCTTGGTTGGTAGCCCTCTTTGATGCGTACCCTTAATGGTGTCTGGCTAAGGTCACCCAGGGGGAAGCAGTTTGTAAGTCAATAACTTTTCTGCAATATGACTGATACCTTTTTGTTTTTGTTCACATAACTCTCTTGTGTTTAGGTCCTTAAAGATTAAATGTCATCAGAAGAAAATTAAGCTGTCTTTCTATTTTTCCCCCTCTGTTTCAGAAATCTGTTTCCTTCATGGAAAGTAATCATGTAGTCTGTTATTCTAAGTAATAGCTTATTGCTTCTTAAATTTCATGCCTTATTGACAAAACTACCTAGGCGTGTTATCTCCATCATTGTTAATGCTGATCTGTCAAACCCGATGGATTTCCACAGCGTGTGGACCACAGTTCTAGATACTTGACAGGATTCCTGAATTGTGTGTGTGGTCCTCATCATCTCGAGCACTCCACGTCCAAGTGCTGCCTGCAGCAGAATTACCAGGGCAGTGGTCGGCAAACTGCGGCTCGCGAGCCACATGCGGCTCTTTGGCCCCGTGAGTGTGGCTCTTCCACAAAATACCGACTTCTGCTCATGGGCCACGAAGTTTCAATCGCACTGTATGTGCGCACCCAAGTGTGGGGGAGGGGCCTAGGAATCCGCATTTTAACCGGTCTCTTTGGGAAATCTAATAGACCATGACAAATAACCCCTGAAAGTCCTTCCCTGGGCCATGGTGCACACAAAAGAACACATGATGTAGATGACAGCGTATTACAGGGAAGTAGGCACAACATCCCCCAACACCAATTTTACTAGAAAAGACTCAAGAAGCAATCAGATCTACCCATCTTCCTAAACTTCAGACAATTTAGGTTAGGACGGGGTGCAGTGGGGTTTTGGTAGGGCACCAGATCCCTTCACTAGAAGTTTCTCAGCCCAGCCCTGAAATGCAGAGACTAAACTCCATGTTCTGAAGCCCAGCTGACCACTCAGG